TTCATGGGAGAAGAGTCGGCCTGCTGTGAACAGCTTTCCTGATGATATCTGAGGGTTCTGCTTGCACAAGCCGTGAGATGGAGGGACACAAACACCCAGTCTCTAAAGACTGCAGATGGGTGGCCAGAAAGAGGGTTTCTGGATGCCCCAATATCCTTGGGGTCTCTAAAGATTACTTCTATAGGCATCTGTATTTGGCGTTGGACCTGGGAGATCCCTTGCCAAGTCCCAAACTCATCCTATGTAATGCGACACCTGGAAGGTAACTATTTCCTAGAGGACAGAGGAATCCCTTTAAAATACCTGTTCTTGTTTCCCAGTGGGAGTAACACAGAGACGCTATGAATCACCTGTGTTAATGGGACATCAGGGTCAAAAGGAGGAGAAAAGGCATAAGAAGGTCAGGGAAGAGGCACTGATAGAGTGATCTGACCAGAAGCACTGAGGTGAATGACCTAGAGGCCTGGTCTCTCCTCTGAGCCTGAGTTCCGCTAGGAATTGAGCACTTAATCCTAATACCTGAGAAGCTTTGGAGCCCCACTCTTTGTTTCTATATGCTTTCTTTTTGCCCACCAGAAACTATTATATGGGCCTATCTGCTTAGGAGCCAGAGTAAGGTATGGGAAGAGGGCAAATGTGCCCAGGGCAGTCTTCTCCCCGTGTTAGCTTGGATGCAGTGAGTCAGTCACAAGGTGTTAGTTAGGCTCCTCTGCCTGGCTCTTGGAAGCTCATGACTCTTGCATAGAGTCTCTGAAGGGTGGTAAAGGGAGATTTAAAGAAGACAAATGGAGGTTTGGATCAGAAGAGAAAAAACAGACACAATTACCCAGACTTGACTAGACATTCATGGGTCTTGAGAACATCCTTAAGAAATATAGTGCGCAGTGGTTCTCGGTCCTGGTGGAAAGAACAGAAGGACAGGTAAGTGAGGCTGCCTGTGACATATCATGACCAAGACCAGCTGACGAATACCCCTTTCTCAGAGATGGCTGGCTAAAATCAGGTTGACAAATAACCCGGTCTCAAAATAATCAGCAAGAGAAAAAAAAATCTGGCTGGGCAGAGTGGCTGCTGCCTGTACTACCAGGACTTTGGAAGGCCAAGGCTGGAGGACAGATTGAGGCCAGGAGTTCAAGACCAGCCTGGGCAACATCGTGAAACCCTGTCTCTACAAAAAATCCACCACTGTGCTCCAGCCTGGGTGACAGGTGACAGAGAAAGACCATGTCTCCAAAAACAAGAAAAAAGACAAAACAAATCTAAGAAGATGCTGTGTAGCTGTGATTCTGACCACACAGCAACTCACTGCTGAGAGGACACTTACTGTCACTGTAAAGATGTGTGCACAGAATGGATGGAGATAAGACAGAGGTGCCTTTGAAGTCTTTGTGTGCCCACATCTCCACTCATGCACACTCTCCTGTGGGTGTGCATCTGTGCACCTCTTAGTTTCCATGACCTCTCAGCAGGGCAGCAAAGCTACTACAAACCTGCTCACACTTGAAGTAGCAGATGGTAAAGTCATCAAGTGCAAAGAAGCGACGTTTCCAGCTCTTCCGCTGTAATAACAAAATAAAAGGCAGAACATTAGCAAGAGGTGCCCAGCATTGTGGAGGGTGTTCTCATGCTAAGCTCCCAGAGACCCAGCCCCCTAGAAATCCGGCCCCCACATTCAGCAGGGGAAAGGGCTTCTTCATATCAGGCTTGACACCTCTGACAGGCCGGGGCCAATGGTCAGACCCCAATGGTCAGCCAATGGTCAACCCTCAAAGGTGGAGGCTCCACGGAGGACTGAGGCACCTCCTGTCAATCTCCTCTCACCTCTGCTATGTCTACAGCTACTGGTTCTGAGGAGTCACCAGAACCCCAGTTTAGCCCCTGTGCTGACACTCACCACATTCCCTTGCTTCACGCAGTAACCACTCTTAATGAGGGGAGGCCCGGTGGAAGCACGGCAGCCTGACGTGGGGATGTAACTCTGAGACCTTCGAAGGATGGCGTGGGACCCAGGCTCACTCCCTTCCTGCCCATCCCCACCATTCTGCAAGGAAACAGTGTCAGGATCAGCGCCTCCCTGCCTCTATGCAGCCATAGCCCCATCCACCTCCCCCTGCCTGAATCTCTGGCCTCTTTGCCCTAAGTCAAAGAAGAAATAAATGGTGGGCACAGTGGCTCACGCCTGTGATCCCAACACTTTGGGAGGCCAAGGCAGGAGGATCGCTTGAGCCCAGGAGTTCTAGACCAGCCTGGGCAACACAGTGAGACCCAGTCTCTGCAAAAAAATTAAAAACTGTTTTAAAATGAAAATTAAACAAAAATTTTAAAATTTAAAAATTAAAAAAAAGAATTACCCAGGCGTGTAGTCCCAGCTACTCAGGAAGCAGAGATGGGGGGATGGCTTGAGCCCAGGAGTCTGACGCTGCAGTGAGCCATGATTGCACCACTGCACCTCAGTCTGGGCAACAGAGTGAGACCCTGTCTAAAAAATTAAATAACAACATGGCAAAACCCCATCTCCACCAAAAAATAAAAAAACATTAGCCAGGCACGGGGGCTCATGCCTGTAGCCCCAGATGAGGTGGCAGGATCACTTGAGCCTGGGAAGGCTGAGGCAGGAGGATTGCATGAGCCTAGGAGGCGCAGGCTGCAGTGAGTCGTGATTATGTGTATCTGCACTTCAGCCTGGGTGACAGAGTGACACCCCATCTCAGAAAAAAAAAAAAAACTTACATAAATATAAATAATTAAAACAGGAAAATAAACCTTTCCTTTGCTCTGTCATGCACTTTACCGGGTACTTTCACAGAACCAGCATCAGGGAGGTTGGGCCGACCCAGGAGAAAGGGAAGGACAGAGAATGTGAACCAGGAGGGACACCGGGCTGGTTTCCAGCCTTGTTTGCCTTCCTCTATCCCATTTCCTACAGGTTTCACAAACCCTCTCTTCTGTGTCTCCTGTGTCCAGCACAGAACTGCACAGGCCATTCGGCTTCAAGATGCAGTGGCCTCCACTTCTGCAATGCTGTCACTAACACCCACGAATGGGGCTGTAACATGCCCTGTACTTCCCTGATGGCTCCACTGGCACCAGCTCCCCTCCAACTCCCACCCTCCTTTTCCCCAGTACAGTGCTCCAAGCACATCACGGGCACACCATGGACACTTCTACACCCCCACTCCCCCCGCAGCCCCAGTCAGGCCCCTCACCTGGCTGATGGGTGTGTGGACCACCACCCCTCCGATGATCTCGGTCTTGTAGGCCACCTGTGGCTTCTTCTCCAGGGCTGGAGGAGCTGCTAAGCTCTTGAGAACTTCAGTGGTCATGGGTAGGCCCCCACCTTTGGGTACCTGGGGAGAGCGGCAGCAACAGTCAATGGGGAACAGAACGTTTAGGAAACATGGGGAGCCCAAAGCAGAATGGGGGTGCCGTGAGAAAAGCTAATGTGCCAAATTACAGTCAGACTTGCAGGTCCTCCCCGGGCCTTCCGCAGTCCAAATCTGAATATGAGCGTCTCCGCCAGCAACGCCCTCCCCCAACACAGATACAAACTGACTCCAGGAATTTCTGGAGCACCTACTTATGAGCCAGCCCTTCCCTGGCTAGAAACCAAAGATAAAGTGACAGCGAAACACACGTGGGTCCCCACCCTCATGGCACTTACATGCTAGTAGGGGGAATGACAAAAAAATACATAAAACAAACAGAGTAATTACAAGTGGTGGTGAGTGGCACAAAGAATATCAAGGGAGCTGAGGCAGCGCACAGCAGGGGACCTGCTGGAAACGGAGTGGGCAGGGAGGTCTCCAGAGGAGGAGGCAGGGAGACGCTCAAACGGCAACCTGGAGGGTGAACAGCAGCTGGGGGCCAGGTCTGGGGCCTCACACCTGTAATCCCAGCACTTTGGGAGGCCAAGGCAGGAGGGTCACTTGAGCCCAGGAGTTCAAGACCAGCCTGGGGAACATAGTGAGATCCTGTCTCTACTAAAAATGGAAAAAAAAAAAAAATAGCCAGGTGTGGTAGCACATAGCTGCTCAACAGGCCAAGGTAGGAGAATCTCTTGAGTCCAGGAGTTGGAGGCTGAAGTGAGCTATAATCACACTACTGTACTCCAGGCTGGGTAAGAGAGACCCTGTCTCGAAAAAAATAAAAAATAATAAACGAAGAAAAGGAATCAGGAACATGAAGCTGGGAGAAGTCATTCTGGGCAGATGGAACAGGTAAAAATGCATGCCTTTGTAGAGACAGAACAAGGGGTCCATGAAGTCTGGAGCCAGAAGGCGTGTGGTATAACCCTTCATCTCTCACAAACCACCTGAGCGACCTTTGGCAACCATCAGACCTCTCTAGGCCTAAACCGTCTCATGTATAAAATGAAAAGAGGAATAATATTTATCATAACCATTGTTGTGGTTATCAAATGATAGAATATATTAAATGCTTTAGAAACACAACTAAAAGAAAAACATATTACAAAATATTTTAATTAAGGCTTCCCAGGTGGTACTAATAATTATACACCGAGCCCTTTTGGAAGAATGAGTTATCTTTGTTCTTCCTTGACAGAGATATGGTACCACAGCTGATCAAATCATCATACAATTTTGCTGTTGTTGTCGTTGAGACAGAGTCCCGCTGTGTCGCCCAGGCTGGAGTGCAGTGGCACAATCTTGGCTCACTGCAAGCTCCGCCGCCCGAGTTCACACCATTCTCCTGCCTCAGCCTCCCAAGTAGCTGGGACTACAGGCACGGGCCACCATGCCCGGCGAATTTTTTCTATTTTTTAGTAGAAACGGGGTTTCACCGTATTAGCTAGGATGGTCTCCATCTCTTGAACTTGTGATCCGCCGGCCTCGGCTTCCCAAAGTGCTGGGATTACAGGTGTGAGTCACCACGCCCAACCCATCATAGAATTTTTATGGTTAGCTGGAAATCACAGGCCAGAGGTTGCAGATTGGTGGCCCACCCACCGACTTTGCCCAAACAATGTTTTGTTAGTCACATGCAGTGTTTTCTAAAATCTGCATCTAAGTTTTGGGATATTTCACAGACAAATCCAGATTTTCAGCTCTGCAGCAGTTCCCTTTTAGATAGAAAATGCATTCCATGTTTGCACAGTCTCTACCATTCTCCCCAGCAGAATGGGAGAGGCCAGGGGCCAGATGTCACTTATCCTCATTCTTGTTCTCATGTTTCTTCCTCCTTGCTCACTTCACTCATTTACTAGAGTCTGCAAATGCTGAGGAAATCTTTCATTTTGTTAGAAAGAAAGAAAAAAAAAGAGGCCCAGAACAGTTGAGTCATTTACCCAAAGCCAGGATTAACAGCTGAATGTCGGCCAGGCACGGTGGCTCATGCCTATAATCCCAGCACTTTGGGAGGCCGAGGGGGGTGGATCACCTGAGGTCAGGAGTTCAAGACTAGCCTGACCAACATGGTGAAACTGTCTCTACTAAAAATACAAAAATGAGCTGGGCATAGTGGCGGGCGCCTGTAACCCCAGCTACTCAGGAGGCTGAGTCAGGAGAATCGCTTGAACCCAGGAGGCAGAGGTTGCAGTGAGCCGAGATCACGCCATTGCACTCCAGACTGGGCTACAGAGCGAGATTCTGTTTCAAAACAAAAACAAAAATACGGCTGAATGTCTACTAAATCCTGACTTCCCACCAGTGCCCCAGCATCACAATGCCCCACCTTTAGGAGAATGCAACACCCTACATCTATCTGCCGGGATGTCACCAGGACTTCGAGAGAAAAGCTAAGGTCCTCTCCCACTTCTACAGCTTTCAGAGTCAGAAAGACCTAAGGATCCAGACCCTTTCAAGAGCTCAGAGCTATATGAGAGCCCTGTCATTTAGTGTCTGTTCGAAACAATAAGAGCACCCTGATTATGCTGGGCCCCCACAAAGATGACGAGACCTTCTCTTCCTGGACTGCCCACTCAGTTTACATAGACAAGGATGTCCTCTGCCCCCTCCCTACCTCTCCAAATCAGGCCAGAAATTCCACCTTCTATTTTCCTTCTGGCTGAGAGATACCAACAGTTACAGTTTTTTTGGGCCTCCATTCAGTGCCAGGCAATGCACTGATAAGCTCTTTGCTGCACTATCACTAATCTTATCAACCAGGCATGATTTTCTCTTTATAGATGAGGACAACTCAAGCTCATTAAAATCAAGTGATTTGGCTCTAGCACTGCCTGACTCCTTGTTGCTACATGTCACGACCTACCTAAGCTACTCTTTCTCATTTTCTGTGAGTTCTGTTATTATGTAACCACATTTTTAGGGATGTTGATTTTTAGTTGATATTTAGTGATTAAAATCACCATGGAACAGGCAGAAATTTCCCCTAAATGACCCAGATGAATTCCTGAAACCCAGCAAAGAAGGAGGGAATTAACTTTTTTTTTTTTTTTTTTTTTTTTTGAGACAGAGTCTCACTCTGTCGCCCAGGCTGGAGTGCAATGGTACGATCTCAGCTCACTGCAACCTCCACTTCCTGGGTTCAAGTGATTCTCCTGCCTCAGCCTCCCAAGTAGCTGGGATTACAGGTGCCCGCCACCATGCCCGGCTAATTTTTATATTTTTAGTAGAGATGGGGCTTCACCATGTTAGCCAGGCTGGTCTTGAACTCCTGACCTCATGATCTGCCCACTCTGGCCTCCCAAAGTGCTGGGATTACAAGCATGAGCCACCGCGCCCGGCCGGAAAGTAACTTTTTAGAGTTCCCAGTGGCCAGAAAAGGAAGAACAGAAGCTTGGCTGCTGTGTTTCCTCTCAAAATCCCGAAGAACACTGTTTGTCACCGCTTATGCTCCAGTGTCATGCACTGCTTCAGATCAACATGCAGAGCCTTTCCAAAGCTGCTTACACTACCTGAGACTTCTTTAAGAGATGGGGTTTCACTCTGTTGCCTAGGCCAAAGTACAGTGGTAAAATCATAACTTCCTGCAGCCTCAAACTTCTGGGCTCAAGTGATCCTCCTGCCTCAGCCTCCTGAGTAGCTGGGAATACAGGTGTCAGCCACCAGGTCTCACTAATTTTTTATTATTTTATTTATTTATTTATTTATTTATTTTTGAGGTAGAGTTTCACTCTTGTTGCCCAGGTTGGAATGCAATGGCACGATCTTGGCTCACTGCAACCTCCGCCTCCCAGGTTCAAGAGATTCTCCTGCCTCAGCCTCCCGAGTAGCTGGGACTACAGGCATGTGCCACCACGCCTGGCTAATTTTGTATTTTTAGTAGAGATGGGATTTCACCATGTTGGCCAGGCTGGTCTCAAACTCCTGGCCTCAGGTGATCCACCCACCTCAGCCTCCCAAAGTGCTGGGATTACAAGGCTGAGCCACTGCACCCAGCCATTCATCCTCTCTCTTTTCATCACTCTCTCTTTTCACGGGTTTACCAAGGTTTATCAGAATAAGAAGCTAATCAGCAAAACTGCTTATAGGACTCAATTATACTCAGGTTAGGTCTAGCAACACGAATACTAGATATGTGTACACATTTCTTCTATACAGTTGTTCACAGGAACCCTGAGAAATCTGGGAGGATAATTTGCTGCAGCACGTAATAGTCACTATTGGAAGCCCCTCAAACATAAGCATTTCTGACTGTAAGATACAGAAACAAACTTTTCAGCATACAAGCCATGATCTATATAAGCCAGGAGTCTGCCTGTCTTATCAAAAGTCTAGTTTTTTCCAAAACATATAGTTTTCCCTCTCCATCCTTCCTACCCTCTTCCTTTCTTTTTCTGTATTTCCAAGGGAAAGGAAAGGAATTCTTCATGAGCCAACTCAAGGAAAAAGAGCACACTTGTAGGACAGCCCATGAACTAGCTCTGTGATGCTTTTAAACAGAAGGCTTTTCCAGGACAGGGAGGCGGGTGGCTTGGACTAACCCTGCAGGCAGCCTCTGAAAGTAAGAACAGTATCCGCCCCAAGCTGGGAAAAAGTTCTGCCTTCTCTCCCCATATGCTTTTCCCGTTACTTGACTTTTCACAGTCAGCAATCCATTTTCCAATCCTACCACATTCTGAATCAGCATCCCAGAATCACCCAAAACATGACCGACCGGGAGCCCTCCCAGGAAGCCCAAAGGGGATGCTCCATGAACTTCCCCTTGAACTTGATTCAAACTCAAACTCTCAGTTCAACTTGTGCTTGGTAAGCCAAGGAACAAGAAGAGGTGGGAGAGAACTGGGTACAGACCAGGCTCCTGGGAAAGTCCCCACTGCCATCTCGGTTTTCCCCAACCCCAACAAGGCCACAGCCTGGGAAGAGGCACTTTTACTACCCCCAGAAAACAGAAGAAACCAAACTTACGGTGATCTTGCTGGCTTGGTTCAGGGCTTCAACCCAGTCCTTCATATCTTTCTGGTCATTGGCTTGAAGGAAATATCTCTGAGACAGGGCATTGATAACTACAAAAGCCACAGAAAAGAAGGGAAGATGTTCCCGGGTCAGAATACAAGCAACACAACAAGTCTCCACAAAGCTAAGGTGTTTGAGGGAGAAAGATGAGTGAACTCCACAAAGCAGAACAAGAAATCTCCCATGATGCTAAGTCATTTCCTTAGGAATTTAGGAAGCCCCAGGCCACACCTGCTCACTCTCTTTCCCACCTTTAAAAACATCCTATTGGCCACAGGAACAACACCTGACCATGTTAACAGCAGCCTCAGTGCGCTGTTCTGCAGTGATGAGGCTGCTGGTCTGCCGTCAACAAGACACAACTGTGAACCGCATTCTGGCAGTGCTAATATGTTTACTATCATCATGGTATATACAGAATTTTGGACCCATGCTTGGTCTCCACTGGCACAACTGGTCTGGACTGGCAGTCTTGTCTGTGGTTGGGAAATAGAACAAAGCTTTCCTGAGATCAAATCTGTGACCTTGGCCTCACTCTCAATCTGTTCTTTCCTCTGAGCATTCCATTAGGTCAACAATTTACTTCCAGGTTCATTATTATTACATATATATATTTTTAGATCTGATAACCACAAAACGTGACAGTCATTTCTTTTTTTTTTTATTTTTTTTTATTATTATTATACTTTAAGTTCTAGGGTTCATGTGCATAATGTGCAGGTTTGTTACATATGTATACTTGTGCCATGTTGGTGTGCTGCACCAATCAACTCGTCAGCACCCATCAACTCGTCATTTACATCAGGTATAACTCCCAATGCAATCCCTCCCCCCTCCCCCCTCCCCATGATAGGCCCCAGTGTGTGATGTTCCCCTTCCCGAGTCCAACTGATCTCATTGTTCAGTTCCCACCTATGAGTGAGAACATGCGGTGTTTGGTTTTCTGTTCTTGTGATAGTTTGCTAAGAATGATGGTTTCCAGCTGCATCCATGTCCCTACAAAGGACACAAACTCATCCTTTTTTATGGCTGCGTAGTATTCCATGGTGTATATGTGCCACATTTTCTTAATCCAGTCGTGACAGTCATTTCTGAGCTTAGCTATGAAATTTGCAAGAAATAGAAGAATGAGGTACCAAAGAAGTTTGAACTAATCTGAAGTGGGGCGAGAGAATAGCTCAAGGGAATATTTTATTCTCTTAGCATAAGCTTGAACTGTAGGAGGTGAGTCTCATGGGGTAGATGCAGAATTCATCCCTTCATTCATTCATTTGACAAATATTTACTGAGCACCTACTATGCGCTAGGAACCATCTTTAAGTGTTGAGGATACCACAGTGACAAGGCAGAGGAATATCCCTGCCTTTGTAAAACTTACATTCAGGACCACCCGAGATAGGCAATAGAAACTATTTGTTAGCATTTGCTCATAGCACTTAGCACAGTCCTGAGAACATAGTAGGAGCCAAGTAACTATCTGATGATGGATTCATTGAATTCACTGACTGCTTCCTGACTTGAGGCACCCGTGCACGGTGACTCTGCTTCCTACACCATCCCCCAACATGTCACTCTTTGGGTAACTGAGACTCTCAACAGAATTCTCCTTCCTTTATCTTATCCCCTTCCTGGCACTGCCATCTGCCTCTGCTCTGAGTCCTCCATCTTTTCTGAGCACACCATTTCTCAGCTCTAAAATAAGGGTTTGCAGAAACTTCTAGTGGACATTTTGCACCTGCCTTATGGCATCAAGAAAACTGAAATGCATATGGACAATTATTAAAAGAAATGATGATGGACATTGATACGGTTTGGATCTCTGTCCCCACCCAAATCTGTGTCCCCACCCAAATCTCATGTTCAATTATAATCCTCAGTGTTGGAGTTGGGGCCAGGTGGGAGGTGATTGGATCATGATGGGTCGTGGGGACAGTTTCTCACAGTTTAACACCATGCCCTGTGCTGTCGTGTCATAATAGTGAGTTCTTGTGAAATTTGGTTATTTAAATGTGCGTAGCACCTCCCCACTCTCTTTCTTGCTTCTCCTCTAGCCCTATAGAGCCTGCAGAACAGTAAGCCAATTAAACTTCTTTCGTTTTTTTTTTTTGAGGTGGACTAGAGTGCAATGGTGCAAAATTAGCTCACTGCAACCTCCACCTCCCAGGTTCAAGAGATTCTCTTGCCTTAGTCTCCCGAGTAGCTGGAATTACAGGCACCCGTCACCATGCCCAGCTGATTTTTTTGTATTTTTAGTAGAGATGGGGTTTCACCATGTTGGCCAGGCTGGTCTCCCTCTTGATCTCAGGTGATCTGCCCACCTCGGCCTCCCAACATACTGGGATAATAGGTGTGAGCCACCAGGCCTGGCCAAACCTCTTCTCTTTTTAAATTACCCAGTCTCAGGTATTTCTTTATAGCAGTTCAAGAACAGACTAATACAGATATGCTAATTATACATTATGTACCCCATGAATATGTACAATTATTGTCAATTTAAAAAAAAAACTGAAACCAAAAAAAAAAAGAAAACAGAAATGTTATTAGTCCCTGGACTTCTGTACTTATGTTATTAACAACCTTTGCAGCAAGACCAGGGAAAACAGTATCACTTGACGCCCAGGACCGTCACTGTGATTTAAGTCACTCATACACACAGGGTATAGTCACATGTGATCACAGGACTGTCTCCAAGCAAAAGAGGAAGTTGCCATATCAATATTAAACGAGTCCCTCCCCTGGCTCAGTACTTACCAAAGCAAAATGGAGTCTTTGGTTTCTGCTTTGGGGTAGCTATGCTCACCTAAATGAAATAAGAAATAAACGAAACATGAATATGTTTCTTACAATGTTGAAAATTTCTTATTGTGAAATTTCTCATACATGTAGAGTACATTAAACATGTCTACATTTTTAAAAAATAATAATTAAATGAAAACCTTGTACTCATCACCCAGATTAAGAAACAGGCATTATCAGTCCTATTTCTTAGAAGCCCTGTGTGCCCCTCCCTGATAGAATCCCCACGCATCAGAGATAACCACTATCTTGAGGTCTGTTCATCTTTACAAACAGACTTTTGTTTATTATTTATTTATTTATTTAGAGACAGGCTCTCACTCTGTCACCCAGGCTGGAGTACAGCGGTGCAATCATAGCTCACTGCAGCCTCCAACTCCTGGGCTCAAGTGATCCTCCAGCCTCCACCTCCTGGCTAATGTTTTTTTTAAATACCCCTATGCCTCGCTAATTTTTTTAAAAAAGAAAAATATTTGCAGAAACAGGGTCTTGCTATGTTGCCCAGGCTGGTCTCAAACTCCTGGGCTCAAGCAATCGTCCCGCCTCAGCCTCCCAAAGTGTTAAGATTACAGGCATGAGCCACTGCGCCCAGCTCCAAAAAGACTTTTAAAAGACACTAAGTCCTGACGGAAACCTATCCTGGCCTCATTCACACTAGCAAGATTCCCCTCCTCCCCTCCTCTTTCATCTGCCAACCCTCTCCCTAAATCATTCTCCAAGCTAAATGCAATATTGCCACAAATGCATGGATTCCAATCAGAACGCTCAGAGAGACGAAGCAGCAGGCTGCACGCTGCACTCAGACACATGGAACAATTGCCTTTGCATCTGCCCTGATGGCCTAACCATGAAAATAAGCACCTTCCAGGTGCCCAGAGAGGGGCTGATGGAATCGGAGAACATGCCTATACATCTCAGGGAAGGGCATGAAATAGAGGAGGTATTTCTACACCTCCTGTTGCTGCACTTCATCTTGCTCTGGCAATCCTACCCCTGGCATGTACACTCCTGGGTATCTGCATATGTGAACTCACATCATTCAGGCTCAAACAAAAGAAAAAAGAAAAGCAACTCACATTCCACCACATGCCCACAAAGATTAGGGACAATCCTTGATGGAGGCTGAGACTCCCTGGAGGCAGAGACTCCCTGGAGGCAGCCTCCACCACTGGGCCTCTAAAGAGACAGTCACCTTCCCATGGGTCCTAGGCCGGGGACTATTCACATGATGTCACAGTCCTCCCCTGGATACCATTCTCTCCATCCCTTTCCAGCCAACGGTATTCTTCGATGTGTCCTCACCTAGGGGCTCCAGGAGTGGTTCCCACTTTATTTTATTTGTTTGTGGGTGTTTTTGGAACACCCACAAACAAAGAACTCCTATCTTTGAGATAGGAGGCTGGAAGATCACTTGAGCCCAGAATGAGACCCTATCTCATTCTGTCACCCAGGCTGGAGTACAGTGGCGCAATCACAGCTCACTGCAGCCTCGACTGCTCAGGCTCAAGTGATCCTTCCACCTCACCCTCCTGAGAAGCTAGACTACAGGTGTGTGCTACCACACCCAGCTAATTTTTCTATTTTTTTTAGAGATGGGGTCTCGCTATGTTGTCAAGGCTGGTCTCAACCTCCTGGCCTCAAGTGATCCTCCTGCCTCAGCCTCACAAAGTTCTGGGATTATAGGCATGAACCACCACAACCAGCTGGCTTCTACTGTAATGGGCAGCGTCATCAGAAGCCAGGTGCTAAAGAAAAAGTCCTGAATTGAAATGAAAGTCTCTTCCCGGCTGACAGCAGTTAGGGTCTAACAATGACTGACTCACCAGTCTGTCTAGGTTCTTACTCTTGGCTCTATGTTCTTGCTATACACCTGCCCAGATTCCTTAACCAAAATTAATATTGCCCCAAATAAATGGGAACTGAGGTAGCATTTTATAAAAGATCAAAAGAAGGTCAGGCAGTCAGAGACAGAGAGTCTCAAATGACAGGTGTTGAAGCTGAATGACCTCCACTTCCTGTTCTATCAAATAAAGGATCATAATGCCATGTTTTCATAGGGTTAACATAAGGGTTAAATATGATAGTGCAGGTAAGACAGCTATTCCTCCACAAAGAATCTGCTCGACTCAGGAGGGATTATTTATAGCTTTTGATACCTCATTTCCTTTAAAGCCTCACTCCACACATCAACACAGGCGGTGTCCCGCCTGGAACTACGGGCAAAACGCTGAGGGCCCATGAGTTTCTCTGGGCTTGCAAAACTGTATGAAACCTGAAAACCTGGCCTCCTACACACAAAGTGAAGATGCTATATCTAGTGTTAATTAATGCCTACATAACATTATATCAACCTCCCTGACCATTATTTAAATGCATACAAGATATTACTCAAGTAAACGTCATTAATTTTTCAATGAAACATTAAAAAATTTTTCATTTGAAAATAATTGGTACTGGGCCGGGCACAGTGGCTCACACCTGTAATCCCAGTACTTTGGGAGGTCACAGTGGGTGGATCACTTGAGGTAAGGAGTTCGAGACCAGCCTGATCAACATGGTGAAACCCCGTCTCTACTAAAAATACAGAATTAGCTGGGTGTGGTGACACATGCCTGTAATATCCCAGCTACTTGGGAGGCTGAGGCAGGAGAATTGCTTGAACCTGGGAAGCGGAGGTTGCAGTGAGCCGAGATCCCACCACTGCACTCCAGCCTGGATGACAGAGTGAGACTCTATCTGAAAAAAAAAAAAAAAAAAGGGATACTTTAGATTTTCTGAGCTCACAAGAATCCTTTTGTGTGTGTGCAAGATGACTGCCCAGAAATTAGAGCCGGTTACAAACTGGATGAGTTACTCAGAGCCAAATCATTCCAAAAGTAAAATGATTAAAATCCTTTCAAATATTTTATATACATATTATGGCCAATTATATTTAATAAGGGATGTGCATTTCGAGATGTGAGGTGGAAGCCATAGAGCCTAAGAAAGACCTAAAAAAATGAAAATTTGAGCAAAGGTAAACCCACTTATCCCAAGTTCGGACACAGAGGATCCAAATTCCTCTGTGTGTCAACTCACAGGTAAGAGGACGCTGGTGGCTCCTTAACACAATAGCCCAGGCTCCTAGGCATCTTGCTTCCTGGATTTCTGACCCCCAGCCCCCCATTCAATCTGGACCATGGCGTAGGCTTCTGTCTCGCTTACACCTGAGTATTGATCTGTCAGTAATTCATTTTCTTGCTTTGGTCCTCGGCATCCATATTCCCGCAGTCCTCTGGTCCGTAACTCCTAGTTGTTCTGCCCCTGATCTCAGAATAATCCTGACCACAGCAGAACTGTGTTTGGCCATCCCAGCCCTCAGAACCCACCTATCTCATGTCTCCCCTTCTACTTCCAGCTTTATTTATTTATTTATTTATTTATTTATTTATTTGAGAGAGAGTCTTGCTCTGTCGCCCAGGCACTGGAGTGCAATGGTGCGATCTCGGCTCACTACAGTCTCTGCCCCTCCAGCTTCAAGCGATGCCTCAGCCTCCCAAGTAGCTGGGACTACAGGCACCCACTGCCATACCAGGCTAATTATTTGTATTTTTAGTAGAGATGGGGTTTCGCCATGTTGGCCAGGCTAGTCTGGAACTCCTTACCTTAGGTGATCCACCCACCTCGGTCTCCCAAAGTGCTGGGATTATAGGCATGAGCCACCACGCCTGGCTTTTTTTTTTTTTTTTTTAAGAGATGGGGTCTCACTCTGTCTCCAGGCTGGAGTGCAGAGGTGCAATCATGGCTTATTCAGCCTCAAACTCCTGGGCTCCAGCGATCCTCCCAACTCAGCCTCCCAAGTAGCTGGGACTATAGGCACTCGCCACCATGCTCAGCTAATTTTTATTTTTTAATTTTTTTTTGTAGAGACTGGGTCTCGCTATGTTGCCGAAACTGGTCTTGAACTCCTGGCCTCCCAGAGTGCTGGGATTACAGGCATGAGCCACTGTGCCCAGTCTACTTCCAGCTTTAGAAGGACATTGAAAAGCTGGGTACTCCAAGACCCTTTCTGGCTTATTAGGAGAATTGCCTTTTCTCTGAAAAACTCCTATTTGTCACTGACTAGAGAGAGCACCACAGGCGGACAGTTTTCACTGCTTGGATAACAAATGCTCATTTTGACTACAACTGATTCGCCACACTGTGCTGTGAGAATGCTACCCATGGGTTTATTATGGGAACTGGAGCCTTCAAAGAGACAGTCTGGCTTCGTGTTTGTTTGTTTTCCTCTGTTTATCCAGTTTTGGTTAGGAGGCATGTGAGAGTGCACGCGTGAGTGCAAGCGTGTACAACCATCACTGGCCTCATGTCTAATGGCTTACCAACACATTGCTGAACTAACAGCATCGGTTCTAGTTCTGCCCTGATTGGCTCATTGCAAGGGTAAGACCCTCAATGTCTCTGATCAGCTTCACAATAGGTGAAGCCAGAGTAAAAACACGATTCCCCTTTGCCAGAGAGTGGCAAAAGAGGACAATGAAATGATTTCTACCTGTTGTTGAGTCCCACGGAAAGAAAGGTCAAGGTGGGGCCGGGCACAGTGGCTCCCACCTATAATCCCAGCACTGTGGGAGGCCGAGGTAGGCGGATCACCTGACGTCAGGAGTTTAAGACCAGCCTGGTCAACATGGTGAAACCCCATCTCTACTAAAAATACAAAAATTAGCCAGGCATGGTGGCACAAACCTGTAATTCCAGCTACTCGGGAAGCTGAGGCAGGACAATCGCTTGAACCCAGGAGGCAGAGGTTGCAGTGAGGCAAGACTGCACCATTGCACTCCAGCCTGGGCGAGAGAGTGAGACTTTGTCTCAATTAAAAAAAAAAAAAGATAAAGGGCAAGGAGGAAATCTAACTTATCATGGAGACGTGGTGGCTTCGCCTCCTTTCATGAAGAGGTGTGGCTGCAGGCGGGTGAGGTCACCCGACCATCTGACTCCAGTGAGGCCACCAAGGTGCAGCCATCC